TCAATCTGCGGTGTGACCTCTCCTGTGAGAGCCGACGTGTGTGTGCACGAGTGCGTGTTTGCATGGCAAGGAGAGAGGATGCCTTGGTGTTTCTTTGTTTTTCTTCCTGGCTGGCCCCACCAGTGCCTGGGTGATTGAGGGCCCGGAGCACGTGCACTTCCTCACCCATGCTCAAGGCATTTCTGGTAATGGCATCTGGCCCGTATGCAGATCCAGCTCCATGCGGTGCTGACATCAGCCAGTTTGTGGCACCTCAGCGTATTTCTGGGTTGCAAATGAGAGTTTCTTAGTGCCAGGCTCGCTTGGGCTGTCACATCAGGTGATGAATTCTCTGCAGCAATGGTGTGCTGCTAAGGTGAGGGCAGAGGAAGAGCAGGAAGGAGATGGGACAGGCTGCCCGCAGCCCAGCAGCCGTTGTTCTGGGCGGAAAGCAGTCCTGGATCCTCAACGGGGAGGAGAGGCACCTTCACGTGGCCCCTCTGGTTCAGGAGGGTAGCAGAGGAGAGAGAAGTCAGGACTTCAGTTGAGATTCTGTGCTTGGTGTTTTGCCAGGAGAAATCACATGGATTTTCCTGTCTGCCACTGCCCCATCCTTGCTCCCTCTGTCTCCCCAGGCAGGCCTGTTTTGCCTTTATATTCAGGGGTGTCCAACCTTTTATCCCCCTGCTATACATGGGAAGAGTCAGTCTTGGGCCACACAGTAAATACACAGACACAAACGAAAGCTGCTTAGCAAAGAAAGGGTCCATGCATACTTTTCATAATATACACAGAAAAGTAAAAAAAAAAGTCCTCACAAAATTGGCATGTGTCCACCAGCTGCATTTGGACACCCCTGCTTTAGATGGAGTTCTAGCAAAATTTGGTATATATCAAATGATATGCCAAATTCAGTAGGGCGGGCTGTTGAGTAAATAGTCATTTTTGTTCCTGAAAAACTTTGCTTCCAAATATCTTTGTGTTTTGAAAATCTAGGTTTTCTTATCTTGGCAGGTTGCTGCATTTTGTCCTAATTTTACGTTACTATTAACTTCTGCCGTGAGCTTCCAGGTTGAGCCTTCCCTGCTGTCTTAGGCTCCATCTGATGGAATTAAAGATTACATTGGGTCCTGCTTCCCGGGCCTTGCATCCCAGGCCACAGAATTATCGTTATAATCCTGGGCAAATATAGACTCTCTTCCAATGGGAATGTTTCCAGAGATAAAAAGGGCACATTTTGCTTTGCAGATTTTATCTCCCACCCCTGTAACCCTTCAGTGTGGTCGCTGACGTTAGCATCTTGAAGAGTGTGTCCATTATAAATAAGTTTGCATCAGAGAGGGGTGGGGGGTGACATCAAAGTGAAAGTCTAGTCTCCTTTCCCACCACCCCTACCCCGCTGTTAATGAGAGCGCCCTCTATTCTCACCACTCCCAGAGATAAATAAACACACAAAGGCAGAGTTTCCTACTTAATATTCACTCACTCGTAGTGGAGGAAAAGGGAAGGAATTGCTCCCCAGGGTTAACGTGGCAGTAAGCGAGGTCAGCTGTTTCCCAAGACGGTGCAGCCTCTGAACGTCTTACATTAAAGCTGGAATGACACAGCTGAAGCCGCCGTGGTAATTTATGGGAAACCTGGTGAAGTTGGGTCTTCTCGGAGTTTCTGATCTTGGGGAGGTTTTATTAGCAATGGCAGCAGATAATATGCCATTGTATAAAGCACCTCTGGAGGAACGAATTCTCCACGTTTCTTAGTGTTAGACGTGCTTATTCTAAAATGTTTCTGTGTTTATCTAAATTGAATGCCACAGGGGTACAGTGTCCTAAGTTTGGCAGGAAGTAAAGGGTCGTAGTTGGCATATCCTGGAGTGAGATGAAGAAGGGTGTCATTTTTTTTCCAGGCCTCAGGGGTCTTCTGGGACGTGGGACTTTCATTGCTAACATGGGAGAGTCCTGGGCAAACTGGGATGGCTGGTCACCAAATCTGAGGGGTGCACATGTCTGTGTGACCATGTGCCTGTTTATGGATGAAAAGGAGTGGAAAAAAAAGAAGTTAAAGAGGTTTGTTTAATGTGTTTATTTTGATAGAAGATTTTGCATATTCTTCACCAGGCCAACTGGCATAATGAAAATGCTGGTTTTAATATCAGCTTGAACGACTGAATTCCTGTCTCTACCATCTGTGAGTCCTCTGTACCCACTGGCATCTTACTCACTGGTCTGAGAAAGCAGAACTTTTAAAGAAAAGAGATCAAATGTTGGCTTGTTCTAGTTATTTCAGATCAGAGATTACTCTGAGTCTCCCAGAACCTTCTGGACAATATAGAATGCTTAGCCAATTTCGTCTTAATGAAATACTACAGAACTAATTTTCTTTACTAATGGCTTCATTTCTAGTGCCACTTATTATCTTAATGGAATTAGAGCGTGGCTAAATAATAGTAATAGTGGTTTGGTGAGCAATTAATAGACGTGCCCTGTTCTATGTGCTGCTCTAACTGCTTCCTTAGAGCTCCCTTACCCACTTAGCTCCTGCCAGCTTGACTCGACACAGGACTTTTTCCTTTTTTTACCAGTATTTTACTCTGCTTTATGACCATGGACTTCAAGAACTTCTGTCAAGTTTCCTTAAAATTCTGTACTCCTCAGCCAACACCCACCAGCCACCCCCACCCCCCCACACACACACATCCACACCTGCCTATTTATCTATCTATTTAAACCTCCATCAGGTAAATGTATGGATATAAAAATGATTAGAAGAGACAAGAGATATCAAAGAGCTAACAGTAATTCTCTCTGAGTAGTAGGATTGTGGCTGTTGTATATTCAGGTTTAAACTATTTTCTATTTTCCAAATAGTATAAGCACTCCTTACTTTGATAATAAAAAAAAAAAATACGTGACATTCAAGGATTTTCTTTGAAGAAAAATACATTTATCTGCCATTCTTAGTCAACCTAAAATAGCAGCAGAATATATTTTCTAGGGGGGAGGAGGGAGGAGGCTACAATAGCGTCACCCCCATATCAGACCCATATAGGAATTTGGATTAATTCTGTTCTTAATTCAGATTATACTACAGAGTCCTGGCCCCTAAAAGATGGAGAAGCTTTCCATTAGGAAAGAAAGAATTCTCATTTTTCTCCTTGTTGTTCTCCATCTAATCTTTCTATCACAAACAACAGGGGGAAATGTCCTCCAACAGAGAAAAAGAGTGAGAGGACCCACCTGTCTGGATTGGGAGACGGGAGATTGGAACTTGAGAGCAGTTACTTACTGGCCCACGATTGAGGAGAGGTGTTCTTGGCATTGTCTGGGATGCCCTCGTGGTACCCAGATCTGCTTTTCACCGGGGTGTGGGCAAAACCTACCCTCATGCTGAAGCACTGATGGGAGCTGCTTTAAATGAAAGGCCTGGCTTCCCCGGGACAATTGGAGCATCGTTTCAGTGAGCCAATGAAAAAGAAAGCCAAGTAGATGAAAATGGCAGAGAAAAAAGAAGCCTGATTCTGAGGTTTGCAGGCCTGTGTTCTGTGTCAGTGGTGAACCAGGACGCTTTTCCCCTGCATCTCTGCTCTCTCGTGAATGAAGTAAATATTCCTTTTCTAGCACCTACTCAGTGCTGTGGGTTATACAAGGATTGATGTATGACCTCCCAAATGGTAATAATAATACCTGCCCTATCTATCTCTAATTTTTAGAGAATAAAACGAGAGGAAAGTAGAATAGAAAACATTTCATCAAGTCTAAGACTTGGTCTGTTCAACATTAACACTTCCAGACTTGAGGTATACTGGGCAGGAAAGGCATTTTAGCTTGCTTATATTTTAATGCTATAAAATGTTATAAAACATATGAACAGTCATGAATTATGCATCATGAATTAACCACTACAGCAAATCATTCTTGGACTATTTTAATGCTGGGATTTTTTTTAAGGGTGGTCAGTTAACAGATATTTTTTGAAAAGTTTCATCGTTTGGATGCTCTTGGGTCTAACACAGGTGTCCAACCTGCTGCCCGCCAGGTGCATACTGATTTTATAAAGACTTTTTGCTTATCTGTGATGTCAGACATCACAAAAAGTATGCACAGACCTTTTTTTGTTTTTTTAGTGTATCAACTTTGATTAGTGTTTGTGCATTTAACATGTGGCCCAAGACAACTCTTATTCTTCCAGTGTGCAGCAGAGAAGTGGTTCGATACCCCTGGAAGAGTCTTAGAAAACTAATCTCCAAGTGTAGCTCCCATTTGTAGCTTCCCATTTCCCCACCTCTCTAGATGTGTTCACGCAGACCAGTCCTTAGCGTCTTGGCACCGTTGTTTAATCTGTTATAGTCACCTGAATCACCCTCTGTACTTTCCAAAGCTCACCTTAAAGAGTGCCCCTTACATGAAATATTTCCTGATGCCCCAGCAGGATGTGACATTGCCTTCATTTGAAACTTCCTAATAATAGGGATCTACTGTTTATTACGTTCTGGCGTTGAATCATAGTTCGCTCATGGGCTTATCTTATCTCCCTCCTGGAGGTCATCACTGTGAACCTGCTAGTATAGAACCCTGTTTAGAACAGTTACCTGGCGCCCCATAAACATGCGGAACAGCCAGAACCAGAAAGAACTTCAGCGAGCATTTCCGCCAACTTTCTTACTTTTCAAAAGGAGAGACCAGGGCCCAGAGGTGAAGGTGCTTCACCATCAGCAACAGCTAGTTGTTGCTGGGGTCAGAACTAAAATCTTAGTTGTCTTGACAGGCAGCTGTCATTCTACTGATGGCTTGCACTGAATTACAGAGTGATAACCTGACATCCAAAGGCTCCCAGGGGGACCTGAACTCATCTGAGGGTGGGGGGAGTATTATCACCCACAGTAGTAATAGCTGCCCATTTGATAAGTGTCCCCATGTGTCAGGCCCTGTGCTGAGTCCTTTACACAAGTTGCTTCATTGTCATTGTCTGCTGCAAATAGCCACCCGATCTCAGAGGACTGACTTCTCTCCCTTTTTCCCTTCTAGGCTAATGGAGGTTGGCAGGATGCTACTACCCCTTCATCAGTGACCTCCCCTACAGAAGGCCCTGGCAGTGTTCACTCTGATACCTCCAACTGATCTCCCAGCAATCGCATCCCGGCTGACCCTGTGCCCCAGGTGGGGCAGGGGCAGGAGGGAGGGTTTCTCTCCCAACGCTGAAGCGGTCAGACTGGAGGTCGAAGCAATCAGCAAACACAATAAGAGTCTCCTTCTCTTCTCTTCCTTGGGATGCTATTTCAGCCAATCTGGACACTTCTTTATACTCTCTTCCCTTTTTTTTTTTTTTTTTTTCTGGGTAGAAGCCACCCCTCCCTGCCTCCAGCTGTCAGCCTGGTCCCTGTTCATCTTCCCTGGCCCTTTGCCTTTGTCCTAGACTCCCGGGGCCCCTGTCCTCTATGACATCACTGAAGGATATTTTCAACAATTAGAGAAATTTAAAGAGGAAAAAAAATGACGAAGAAAATAATAAACGTGTTTGTATGTTTTCATGCTGGTGGTTTGAGGAGCCAGATTTACCTCCCTCGGATCCCCGCTCCCTCTGCTGACAGGCAGTCCTTCTCTGCTTCTCTTGCTGCTCTCACTACCTCTTAGCAGGAATACGCCACACTGCCCCCTCCTTCCCAGCCCCCTGCCTCCTCTTCCTCTTCCTCTTTGGGGACAACACCGATGGGAACACTTTGCTCCTCTTCCTCCCCAGCCCCAGGTGTCTCCTGGGGACTGCCAGAGCTGGGCTTCTGAAGGTGCCACATTGTCCACTTTCAGGCTGTGGGGTTGATTCCCAGACAGGAGGGGTCAGGTAGCCTGGGAGGGCAGGTGAAGAGGAGGGGCAGAATTCCTACAGGCTTCCTCGTGCTCCTAACAACAGCTGTCAGTGTCAGAGGCACAGTCTTGGGAAACCATTCAGTACTCAGTAAGCGATGTTTTCAACTTACCACGAAACCAGGCCTGAGTTAGGCACGGTGGTGAATGCATCGCCAAGGAGAAGGTTCTTCTCCTGAAGTCCTTGAACCATCCCTTCATACCCACATACACACACGTGTAGGCACACGCAGCGTCTCACACCTTCACGTTCCCAAGATGCCCTTCACAGATACATTAGCAACCATGGCACTATACCTTCGGAGCCCGAGAGAGGGAATTAGCAACTCTGACTGAAGGTGAGGATGTGTCTGAGGCTTCCCATAGCATGCACTTACCAGGATGACGGACACATGACCTGACCATGATGAAGGCCAGGGTTGCTGTGTCAGCTACTCCCACCAGCTCAGGAGCACACAGGCAGCCACACACAGCACTTAACAATGTCTATTAATAGACTTGGGTCTGATTCGTTTCTGGTTTCCTACCACATATTAGGCATGTGGTATTAATTACCCAAAGTGTTATCCAATACCTTGTTCTTGGTCCTGACCTATTGCTCTGAAGGAGAGTTGTATAAGAACATAGCTCATGTGACCTTTTTGTTAGCTTCATTTGAAGACCTAAGAGTCTTGGGGAGAGGGGAGGTAAGGTTTAATGTTTCCACTGAAATCATCAGTGACATTTATTCCTCGAGAACATCTAAGAGAAAGTAACCTGTGCTAGAAATGTCACCTGAGTTCACCCTGTTTGTAGCCAGCCCTCCCAGCAGTAGAGATGGCAGCTCTGTCGGTTAAGTGGACGTGGTCACCTCTCTTGGTGCCTGGTTTTCTTCATCTGTAAAATGGGGGTTGTTAATGCCCGGCTTGCCAAGGGGCTTGTGAGAGACTGGAGAAATTGATTTCATTCACATCCAATCTGCAAATGTGAAGTCAGGGCAAGTAACATTTCTTGAGATAAACTGAGTCATGCCATGTAGGGAAAATACATGTCTGTCCTGTTCTAACTTCTGGTTACCATTGGTACTCTGATGCCACCACTATGATGGCAAAGAGAAGAGTTATTGTTGGTTTTCTCAGCTTGGTGTTTTAGAATAGAGAAAAGCTGCCAAACTAGAAAAATAGGTCTTGGTTCTCTTGTGGCCAACTTGTGGCCTTGTATGTACTTGGTCCCTGTCATGTCTCCTCTGCTTGGGACGCATCCAGGGAGAAGTACAAGACCCTGAGAGGTGAGGCGAGCCAGCTAACAAGGGCATAGAAATTGTGCCTGGCATTGCAGTCGTGAATAGAAAGTGTTCCTCAGTGTGTGCTCTGGGGAGATAGGGATGTTACCTAAGAAACTCGAAGATATGTGTATTTGAAGGAAATGCAAAAAGTTAATATTTGGCAAGATGAGATTATGCCTTGATGACTAAGGGCACTGAAAAGGCCATGCCTATTAACCTGTGCCATTGTCAGAACAGGCCTAGATTAACAGGGAGCTTCTTTGTGACAACTCCATGGTGACTAGAACCAGCAGAGAGCTCTGTCTTAGTAGCAGGAATATATGGAAACCACCCACACAGGACCATGGCTGGATCACATCTGCTTGACTTGGGACAAAGCATGACAGAAGGGTTCTCTTGGCAAGGAGAATGGCCCCAGATTTGGCTTGAATGATTGCCATGTTAAGTGTATGAAAAAGTTGAGAGCAGAGCTACATTTGCAGAGGCAGCCTCTCTCTGGGCAGTCACCGGCACTGATGATCACCTCTCACAGCCTCTTCCTCACGCAGCACTTCCCCCAGTCCCCTCTATACCCAACTCTTTCCCCTCAGTGACCTCCCAGGCCCACTGTCACCTCCATTGTGGCAGCCATGAGATCTCCGCGTTAAGCCATGCACGGGAACACGGACCACAGTGGGATGGGTTTGGAAGGAGCTGCCTCTGGGAGTTCATACTAGGTCAGCCCTGCAGACACCCAGGGTTCCTTCATTTTCTATGGAAGCAGGGGTTGCTCCATTTTCCCTGACAGCAGATTTCCCTGGAGAAGCGATACTAGACTTGGGATTGTCCACTTTGTAGCTCTTCATGACATCCTCCTCTTCATCCCTAAAGACTCCCCCTGGCATGGAATTGACTCCCATGCAGTCCTTTGCCAAGTGGCCCCTTCTTTCAGTTTCATTCTGATTTTTCTGTGGTGTTTGTTCTTTATTTGCTAGTTGCCTTTTCTCACACATTATCTTTCTTACCCCCCCTTTCCTTCTGCTTTTTGTTTTTCTGCCCAGAAAAACCTGACTTCGATACCAAAAAAGATGAAACTACAGAAACTCAAATTTAAAAAAAACTTAAAAAAAAAACAAAAAAAAATACTCAACAATTCTTTCAGCTTTATTAACATTTTCCATTGTTTCTTGCGACTTGTGTCTCGTTCTTTGTAGTATTGATGATGAACATTTGATAATGAATGTTCTTGTATATTCAGATAAAGAAAAAAAAAACCAAAAAAGCGGTCTGAATTTAATAGTGTTTATAATAAAAATTTTAAAAATGACCCTCATAGCACGCAAAACAGGATGGGGAATTTCCCCTCTTCTTTCTGTGACAATGAGCATCATTCCCGCATTAGTTTTTAACACCAAACTACCTACATTCATCATTTCCCCCATTTTTCTTTTATTTTCTTGCATTTGTGAATTAGTTCAAGAATGCTAGAAAAGTGTCGAGTTGTGCACATCCATTTCTTGTTTCACAATGTTTAAAAAGTGACAGTAATTCATTTTGTAAACTTTAAAAAAAAAAAAAAGGTTGGAATAGTGAGCATAATAGGTACAACCTAACACGTTGTTATGATTATTAACTTTGAGACCCGGAAATAAATTCTTTTCGTTTCTTTATTCCTAATCTCTTAAAAATACAAAAAAAAAAAATGGTTTTATTTTGTGTTATTTTTGGTTTGTTTATGGGGGGGGACTTTTTTTTAATTGTCAGGATTATTATCTTGCTGTTTTTCTTCCTTTAATATGTATATGAGGTGATGTGAAAAGATGACATTGGTAGCATAGGCTGTTTTCTTGGCTTTTTTTGCTTCCAAATTCAGTTGACATCAAAAGCAAAGGCGTTGATGTTTCCTTGCTCACCTGCGTTTCCAAAGTGTGTGGCATTCCTGCAGTCGCTGAGAAAAATAAAATTGGGGGCTTGCTTCTCCGTAGCCCTTTAAACGTTCAAGAAATTGGTCCAGAGGAATTTTTTATACTATAGGGAAAGGTTATTACCTTTGTCAATGCTGAATGTCACAACCAAGTGCTTTCTTTTCTCTCTCCCTTGTTAATAACAACATTCCATGAGGCTTCTCCCAACTACAGAGGATTTTTCTTCCAAAAAAATCCCAGGGGAGATACTGGGATTCCAGTATGGAATCCATGGACTCCATGGAATCCATGTCCATCCAGTATGGACACCATGGACTAAGTAGACTAGATCCAGGAAGCAGTCCTTGGGGCCAGTCAGCCCGTTCATCTCTTGAGTCCCAATTTTGGATGAAGAGTTCGTGAGATACTGAGTTTTAATGCTGTAGTTTTAATGCTAAGAGGTTAAGTTTGCTTCCCTGACAATACACCTCTTACTAACCTCTGATGTAGGCAGCTGCTTAAAGCAAATAGCAAAACTGGCATGATTTGGAATGTTTTTATTAGTTTGAGGAAAAAAGAAAGCAATCTTATCTCAGAGAAACATAATTTTTAAGAATCTCTTGTTCACCTAGTTAGGTTCAGAAAGCAGCCAGAACTTAAGCAAGAAAAGTGAAGTGAGAATGCATAATTGGGGGGCAACGCTTTAGGAAATATTTCTCCCGAAACACTTGTGCTCTTGTGTTTAAGTCATAACAAAATAATGACGAGCTTTTCACATCACCTTTGTGGTTTCAATCCCTAGCACAAAGCCTTCTGGAATCTTCTATTTTTTGTAAACTTTTTTTTTCCTTTTGTTAAAATAAATAAAACATTCAATGTTCCTCCCTCCCCCACTTTCTCTCATTTCTCCTTTTCTTTCGTTTGGCATTTCCATTTTGAGATGCTTTCCTTTGGTTGTTGGATTTATTTTCTCCCTCCCCCTCCCCTTTTCTTATTATTCAGAGTATAAACCTGCAAAGCTCTGCTCTGTTTTGGTTTTGAAAGTTTAAGCTTTTCTGCTTCTGTGAGAGCACAGGCTTCTGTCCCTTTTGATTCCAACTGAACTTTTGTGTTCTCTAATGATACTAACACGGTGTAGGTTTTACAGTCTCCTAATTTGTACTGGTAATGCATATTCCAAATAAATAGTTTCTTTTGTTGCAAAAAAAAAAAAGACACTTGTATTTTGTGCAAATTTCTTCTCTTATATTCTGGCAACTTCTCTTTCCCCAAACTAGGCCTGATTTAGTATTGATCATGGTTTAAATTGTTGCCCGAATCACTTAAAAGATTACATAACATGGCAGTAGGGTAAAGACCTCATGGACCACCTTTATCACCCAGGAAAAGGCAGGCAGGAGAGGAAAAGAGAGGAGAGGAGCAGAGAAGAGAGGATCAAGCATTTGTAGGCAAACATTAGCTGACTATGGGGGACATAGTCTTGCCTGCTTGTCTGTGACTAGTAGCCACCCACTAAACATCA